ACCTGTTTATGCTCTCTGTATGTGTGTATATATATCTCCTCAATATATGTTCCATTCTATATGCATCCGAAGAAGTGGGCTGTAGTCCACGAAAGCTTATGCTCTAATAAATTTGTTAGTCTCTAAGGTGCCACAAGTCCTCCTGTTCTTCTATTCACATTATGGTAGACGTAGTAAAAACTGTTATAGAATCAAAATACTGGGAACTAACGGGGAGCTTAACCTAACTCCCAAATTAGGCGTCTAACCGCCACTTGTACGTTTTATAAATCAACCCCTATCCCTAGATGATAATGTCCCTAAACTAATAACAGGTAAGGTCAGACTGGCACTACCATTCAGTCAAACATCAGGAAAGATGTTCAGTAATTGAATCAGTGTTGGGATGGGCATGCATTTTTCAATTTGCGTATAATAACAAAAGATACTGGAATGGCTGTTGGAAAAGCACATGAACTCTGGTACCAGGCCAGTGAGCGACCAAGGCATTGACCTGAGTATGAAGAACTGTCAGACTCTAGTCCCTGCTACACACTGGAACCATATTTGTAACTGGATTCGAGGACAATACAATGAGGTTATAACTGAGTTTTAGATAGGTTGCCTGTATCTGTAGTATAGACAGGGACTGTAAGGGGCATTACCAAAATCAGCAGTGCTGCCTGTTCATTTCAAAAGGCAAACAGCCCATGTTTTGCTCAGCACTGGCTTGGGGAAGGCTGGGTCCAGAAGGAGCACCTGGGCACAAACTGCATTTTAAAACTGGGTGTGTAAATAACTGCACCATGTCCTGTTGTGCTTGCAACCTGCCACCTTAATACACATTCTCTCTCTCTCTCTCTCCTCCCCTCCCCCCCCCCCCAACATACTTCATACATTAACATTTGGCATCCTTGGGGGACAGAGAAGAACTCAATGAAAGTGCTTGTAAAATAGTTTCCACCCAGCTTTTAAATTGGGTTTCACAATCAGAATAATACCCTTGCTCTATAAAGTTGTGGTTATATTGTTAATTATTTGTATTATTGTAACGCCTATAGGCCCCAACCAAGATCAGAATCCCATTGTGCAAGGCACTCCCTGCCTGAATTGCTAAAAGTCTGAACAGGCAAGACAGAGAAAAAGTGGAGAGGGGAAACTGAGGCACCGAATGTTTAAATGACTTGCCCAAAGTCAGTGGTTCCTGTTATGGGTTAATCACTATTCCCAAGATACAAGATTTATACAGTGTGACTTCAGAGTACAGATTGGGGCATGTGTCAACCTGTCACTCAAAAAAAAAAGTCATTTAATATCATTAGATTAGAAGCAAGAGGAAGAATTAGAAGCAAGAGGAAGACCAAAGACAGGGTAGGCCCACTGCTTAGTGAAGAGGGAGAAACAATAACAGGAAACTTGGAAATGGCAGAGATGCTTAATGACTTCTTTGTTTCGGTCTTCACAGAGAAGTCTGAAGGAATGCCTAACATAGTGAATACTAATGGGAAAGGGGTAGGTTTAGCGGATAAAATAAAAAAAGAACAAGTTAAAAGTTATAGGCAAACAACACAGGAATGCAGGGGCA